ATAGAATGTTCCGATTTTAAACACATTCGTGATAACTACTTCCGAGTCCCGGATATGAAAACACTTTTCAGTTCCGTGGATTCGAAGGCATTATTTAACTATTTGAAAGACATCGGTCTATTTTATAGACTCTGATGTCTTTTAACCCACCTTATCATTTTTGACGTTATATATATATCGCATATTCCATATCATCTATTCGTTATCTCTTTTATTATTTTAACCCCCTTTTATTATTTTTTATTATCTACACATACAATGCGAATACTTTTAAAATGAACCATTTTATCTGATTTTATCTTCGCTATTCACATGTTTGTTAAAAAAGTAAAATAAATAAATAAATCACCATGGCCCTAAATGACCACAGCCGTCGATGGGCCGTTAAACATAAACAAACAAACAAACATCTGTATCTTTACCTCAAAATTGCTGTAAAATTATTAACCAGAAACTTGGAATAAACGGCATACCTCAGGTAGACACTTGTCAAAGAAAACACTACTTCCTCATTAATAATATAAAACAAATAACAACCCCCACCCCCCACTTCAAATCAAACCAAACCAGATTTCTTCAACGAGGCTGTGTACGAAAAATAACATAAATCAAGATGAATTTTAAAATCTCACTTTATATTTGAGTATGTGGTGACTGATTATGACAATAATTCTGCGCTCTTACCGAGTTTGGCATCATTACAGCTGCACTACTGGACCCTCACCATATAAATCCCCAGCAAACTACTTTTATTTGTCTCATTCTGGTTGAAAATGACGTGCAACAGATTAACATAAGACAGTGATTCTCACCAATAAGAACTATTTCTGACCCTTTTTCTTTTTTGCCAACAAAACCAATGGTCATTTGAACATTCAAACCCAGCAACTTGAACTACACATACCATTTTCAAAGTTCCCAATGGCTCTTCGGAACACTCGAGCTTCGTTCGGAAAAGTTTATAACTCGGGATTATTCCAGCCATTTTAGTATATAGTAATATGTGCTTCCTAATACCAATCTTTTAAAATATATGCGTTAATATAATAATTAATATTTAAATATATCAACTTAACTTATTCATAATATTTTATGTTGGTGTTAATTACACTTGCGGTAGAAAAATACGAAACAGTTTGTGCGCAAAGCTAGTTTTTCACAGCTGCCGTTTGCCGGACTCCACATCAACATAACATTCGGAACTGAGGAGACACAACAACATAACGTTCGGAACTGAAGAGACACATCGACATTATGTCACAGCAATAAAAGAGGCTGAATTCGTTCAATCATCTGTGTTGGTTTATTACCCCGAGAAGAAACATCACCGATTACACGTATATAAGGTTATGGAAAAAAATCCTGAAATTTACAAAATGACTGCATGCCTTAGTAAAAGTACAAGCTACAATTTAATTAGTTATTTTCCCGAAATATATTCAACATTACAGTAACTTTGAATATATACATGGATAATTACCATCATCGACTATCAAGTCGTGTCAGTGTTGATATAGAGTCATATGGTTCACGTCCGGACTCCGGAGACGTCCAGTACATATATGTTCAATATATATGGCTCCGGCTGTCTCTGCGCGATTCCGCGATTGTATAGTTGCATTGGTTTTATTCCAAACTCACTCTCTCAACGCACGACTTTCTCACCTGTCACACCTGGACACGTACTCAAGACATCACCAAATATGGACAAACACCGACACTACCGGACAGGTAACACACCAAATATGGACATAGACGTCAAGTTACGAAGATTAACGAACACTCAACGGACAGAACACAGACAATAGACATAGGGACTTTCCCTAACAAGACAAGTGTACTAGACTCAAACAACTCTGTTATTACATAAACATTCTCAGACATTAAATAAAGACTAGAAACATATACACATGAATATACCTTGGTATATCCCTGTGACAATTACATTAGGCAGTAAGAGTTTGCCGTTTTACCTTCGTATTGTCAACTGCTGGAATAAGATAGTCGATATAATTTAACCTACCTCCACATCCCGGAGTGAATCCAGTGTCAGACGACTGCCCGACAGGACAAGGTAATTCAGACCCTTCAATGTATCAACAATCATCGTTTGTAGAATATCATTGGCGCATGTTTTACTATTTATAGTTATCACAAACAGCAAACCGAATAACCTTTCTTTAATATGAGTTGACAGAACCTCAACATTATTATTTTCAACATTGACATGCTAAAATGTACTAAAATTACTAGAACAAGCACTTGAATACAGCTTTCTGCATACTATTAATACCTATAATTTCAATATAGTTGCATATTTTCTCTATTTTTAGTTAAATATTTCAAATATCAAAGTTAAAAACCTCGTTAATATAGGTTTCGAATGTTGAGACTAAATTAGTATCGTTACCAATTTCTAGATTGATTATTTATGTGTTGATATATTCGCGGAGCCAATACAAGAAATGTATGCTTAAATTTTGTTACTTTCCTACCATTTAATGTATCCATAATAGTTCTATCTAGACTGCATGACAGCTGTCTGTTTGCTTCTAACGACATTAGTCCTCAGAGACACTATTACTTTACATGTGTAATGCACATGTGAATAGGTTGTGACGCTTGCTTTTTTTAATAGTGGTTTGTTTGTTTGTTTGATTTGTTTGGATTTTCTTTGACGATATTTCCACAAGCTTTTGCTAGCCAGTGTTAAGGATATAAAAATAATAATGAAGTTATGAAAAACATGATCATCAATTATAAGATGAAGCAGGGCTGTTAACTTACCGAAACAATATGCAGCTGCACATAGATTTGTTTGTTTTAGTTCATAGACATAAAATGAACTACACTTCTTCACCCGTATGCTCCATGTTTGCTGGCAGGCTGCAAACACATGTCTCATACATACGGTCACGCTTGTAATGTTTGATGTGTCTGGTAGAACTGTAAAAGACGAAGAAAATATAACTGTGTTATTTTCAGATAAAAATTTCTGCAGTCTATTTACCGAAGGAAAAGCAACAAAATACTAAGACAAGAGGAAATATAAAACCATAAGAGGATGAGGAGACATCACATCGACAGGACACACATTTTCGTACAAAGCACATTGTGGGGAAGTGATGCACTCCGAGAGAATGACCATTTCGGGACCCTCATTAGGTCACAAACGCATGAAACACATTAGGTGACTATTTATAGACATAGGCATACCCGGTCTAATGCAACAGAAAGCTGACAATTGAAATTACAGCATTACAACTTGGTAGATAATGTAGGATTGATATTACTTTGTATGAAGAATATTACTTTATTTTAGTTTAATCTGTCCTATCAATTAACACAATGGTATCTGTAACCTGAAGGTAGAATACAACGAGTGTGCGTGACAATAGCTGAAGTTTTGGTTAAGATATAGCTGTCAGCTAGCCATCTTTTGGATAGGATAATGTACACGAAAACTATTTAGCAGTAGAAAAGATACCTTCGTGAACTCCCCACTGATAAAACAAATAGATAACATGGTGTTCGGGGAGGGAGTACACCTACCGTCATTCATCCATATCGGATACTGAGTACCACATTTGTTCAAGTCTGGTGCTGCCGTCGGCATGGTAACACCAGCACCGGAAACAGGGCGGTACCATCTCTCCGTCAAGCTTGCGTCACATTGGAAAAATGACGCATCAGACCCATCATTTTCAGACGAGCGCCATGAGTCATCAAGAAGGTGGTAGGTAGTAGAGAGACACGGGTCTGTATAGAATGCAAATCAATCATATTAATCATGAGAACAAACATGTCGATTTTCATTACTGTAACATTTAGACACATATCATGCTCAGAGTTGGATGAATTGTGTATCAGAATAATAAAATTCCCTTGACATTTTGTATCATCACATAACTAAGTGCTTCCATTATATGTCTGCTACTCACTGCCTTGTGGTTGTATAATACCAAACAGAGGTAGAAGTTTGTTGATAATGTTTCTATATCCTATATATAACGGCTGTCGAGTTCACACATTAATGGTGTACCTGTATCGGTGAGTGGGTGTTCCGTTTACAGAATGTGTACCCGGAGGTATACTAGGTTTCAGCACCCTATATTCTTACATAAGATATTTGTAAATTAAGATAATGTATTATCATCACCCAAATAAACCAACGTTTCTGATATTAGTATTGTCAAAGAACAAGAGTATGTATGTATGTATGTATGTATGTATGTATGTATGTATGTACGTACGTACGTACGTACGTACGTACGTACGTACGTAGATCTATTTCATATGTTCCTAACCATTTATGTTAAAATTCTTATTGTATTACCTGATATTGTTTGAGATGTACCTCCAGGGAGAGGGCTTGCATTTGGTTTGCCTGTTGCTCAATTCCAATTAAATCAGATGGATTTAATGAATTATTTTGAAAAATTATCCCTTAGTACATTTACTCAATACTTTATAAAAAAAATGTATTCCTTATGATATATATTTAATCCATTATGATAAATTCATAATCCTTTGTTACATGCACTTTATTTTTTTAAGATTTACACCTAATCCCATCTTCGCTGACGGTCCAGACTTTACCTCTATGTTTTAGACTTTCCTTGATTATATATACTTTATCAATTATGACAATGATTTTAGATCATTTAAACTTGTTCCCTGTAATTTGTCCTTTCTTAAAGGTAATGTAAATGTTATTGTAACATAATATGAAAGGTGATTTATCACAATTCTATACAAATAATCAGTTTCATGACTGTGTGGCCAGTTTGGCAAGCAATTACTCTCAGAGCTATTAAAGTTGTTTGCATGTAAAATGATGTGAAAAAATTGTCAACTCATTGTATTGCTTGAATTAGACATTTTGCCTTCCAGTAGACGGGTATAACCCTGGTTTACAATTTCGTCACAACACGGTGCATGTAAACAGTTCAATTCGCTCATTTAACGTAGGTTGTTCAAACACTAGATGACATCAGCGTTCTTAGCCAGAAAACTCTCGGTTGTTTCTAACTATTAGTCTCGGTTGTTTCTAACTATTGGTCTGTTGGCACGTTGCATTCATCCTGTGTACTAGTTATGTCCAACTTATGTAAAACGAGAAATTAGAAGATTTGTAAACAATTATACCGACACATATATCATATACCCAATGATAACCCTGAATGGTGTGTTTGAATACCAATTATATCTACTTAGGTGATCCGTATTATGACACTTGTTCTGTTCGTGATCAAATATAACTGATATAACTGATATAAGGACAAGAGAGATAAACTTGTGTTACGATCATTAAGATATGTTCATGTTTCGTATTTTTTTAATCCTATCAAATATTTACACTGGTGAAATAATGCACAGTTGTACATGTTTTGATTCATTTCAGGATTTAGTTTGATATTGCCTTCCCGAAAAAAAACATCACAACCTTACAATCCGTTATGTATTTGAGAATAGCGTTAACATTGCCTAAGCTTTTAGATGAGCAAGAACCAGCTTATATAGAATACTTATAAACAAGTATGACACAGAGTTATTGTATGACTAATGAGAATCAACCAAAACCATTTTGTTTAAATATCTTAGTTAACAAGTGAAATCGAAATGTGTCCTTAGAACCCAATGTAAGGTCAGCTCAAACAGGAGGAGTACATGATATAACTTATACTGCTTTGAAAATAACTGAACAACAAATCAAAATTCGTAAAACGCTACAAATAAAGCTTGTAAGGACTTCATAAAAATTAAGACTGCCTTAAATATCGGAAAAGGAATATCGATAATAAAATATGGTTTTTTCTCTCGTAAAAACAGATTTAACTAATTCATGTGTTGTTCATTTAAATCAGCAATCAATGATATTAAAAAGATAAAATGCCAATTAGAAAGCAGTTACAAGTTGATTGATCGTAGACACATTAATCGGCGTTTTTGATAGAATCAATCTCGAAAGATTTGCATTTAAAAATATATAAGTAAAATAATATTTACTCAGATGTCTGGAGCATAACAAAATGGTAGATTTATAGAAATACAAATAAAGCATGCAGTATTAAGCTATAACGGTGACTGATTTAGACATAAACGTGCCCATACCTTGTGCTGCTGTATACTGTAACAGGCTGAAGAAGGCGAGTAGTATCGCCTTTACAGTAATTAATAACATCCTGTCACTGGGACGTTCATGTTCGTCAATAGCAGAACAGCGGTTTAACGAATGCACTCTTGCACACCGTTTAAATGTCTTTTTCCTAATAAGGTAGACATATCAATAGTAACTGTGTTTATATAACGGGGAATTCCCCTTGTATCGAAAGGCCAATCCAACAGCAACTACCACATAAAAAGGGAGTTATCGATTCCGTGAAGTAAATTGTTTATTTAGGATGCATTGTTCTCCATGGATTCATTAGTAATAATTATATAATAAAGTTAGTTAATGAATGAGGGTTGGTGAAAATATGTATATAATAGAGTTAAATCAAAATTATGATCTTCGAACTTCAGTGACTATATCATTCTTGGAAAATAACTAACGCTTATATATCACAAATATAGTCATTACAAGATATGAAAGGTCGATCCCTTATGTAAAGCGAGGACTAAGTATTGCAAACTGAATAAACAATATATCCAATAGTTTTACAGGATCAGCAAAGGTTGAACGACAGACTGAGATCCCTTCCTCAACAGTGTAATAATGAGAAAGCTGTAGATAGTGTCAGAAAGGCAATCTGAAGGGTATCAACACTAGTTCTAGTAGTATGTAAAAAGGGAGACAACTACAAAATACAAAATAGCACTTGTAATTGTAAGTGATTCCAGCGAGGAGAACAAGTCACCTTTCCACACCTGTTTTTTCGTCTGTTCTTGCTATCTCAGGATATTAGGAATGTAGTACTCAAAGTCCATTGCAAAGTCAAAACTTTAACGGTACTTAATTTACTTGTTTAGCGTCAAATAATTGTTAAATGTACAACAAAATTAAACAACTGTTTGCAAATTTATTTGTGGATGCAGAAAGCCAAACAAAGTATAAATTTTACTGCAACATATGACCATTCGTCCAACATATGACCATTCGTCCAACATATGACCATTCGTCCCACAAATGACCATTCGTCAAACATATGACCATTCGTCCCACAAATGACCATTCGTCCAACATATGGCCATTCGTCCAACATATGGCCATTCGTCCCACATATGACCATTCGTCCCACAAATGACCATTCGTCCAACATATGACCATTCGTCCCACAAATGGCCATTCGTCCAATATGTGACCATTCGTTCCACAAATGACCATTCGTCCAACATATGACCATTCGTCCAACATATGACTATTCGTCCCACAAATGACCATTCGTCCAACATATGGCCATTCGTCCAACATATGACTATTCGTCCAACATATGGCAATTCGTCCAACATATGACCATTTGTCCCACAAACGACCATTCGTATAACATATGACCTTTCGTCCATTTAGAACTCAAATGCGGAAGTAAAATACAAAGGAATAAAACAATAAAGTGGGTTGAAACAAATCTAGAAAAGTTCAAGAAGGTATGTCAAGAGAGGCAACTATTTCAAAATGTAGAACTCAACAGGAAATCTAATGAGATTTCTACTTTTATAATTTCCCAGAATTAAAAAAGAAAGAAAACATGTACACTTGTTCTGCTTTTATAAAGATACCAAACATCATTATCAATAAAAATGCTTCATCCCTTGATAAAAATATTTCACATCCATTATATATATTCAGATACATTCATTACATATTTTAAAATTAGTAACATATTTTGATATCAGTTTAAATTAACGCTAAAACTAAAGAAGTAACCATCTTCTCTTGTTCCTCTTTCCTTCCTTTTCGACAATATTTTACACATACCAGATATAGCAATTACAGGAGTTTTATCTTTTTGTAGATAGAGTGTATGTGAGTGTGTGTGAGTGAAAGCGTATAGGATTGGGTATATCTGTTCGTGCTTTTTAATGAAGTGCAGTACATAATTTGATTCTGAAATAAAATATAACATGATGTGGATTATATTGTCCGTCATAAAATGGGTATATATGTAATAATATATTAAAAAGAAAAAGTGTTATGCTGATCTTCCTCATTATGAATGTTAATCATGATTGTTGAGTATGTTGATGTCAAATATTGAGTGTACCAATTAAAAAATGATGTTGCAGTGTGGTTCAGTGGCTGTCTGTTGAGGTGTGTTGCTGACGACACGCATTGTATGGATGATGACAATGATGTTGATGATGATGGCTATGAGGAACGGATAGTTTGAATGTTAATGATCAGGATGCTGATGAGATAGTGATGTTGATGATGACGATGATGATGATGAGAATGGTGCGATGATGACGACGACAATCAGGATGATGTTGATGGTGATGATGATTCTGAGGAGGATGATGATGATGGTGATGAGGAAGATGATAATGGATATGATGATGATGACGACGACAATCATGATTCTGATTCTGATTCTGATTCTGATGATGATTCTGATGATGATGATGATGATGATGATGATATGATGATGATGATTATTTATACTTTCTGTATCATCATCGGTTTACGTATTATCCTTACAATGCCTTATCCTAATGAAACCCAAAAAATCAAAGCTGAAAAAGGATAGATATTTATCACATACCAATTGTGCCCAATTTATGTAATGAAATTACTCTTATGCGCTTTACAGTACAGTGACTGGTCTAGAATCGCACAACAATATTATTATACCAGGTACTTAAAAATTAACTATAGAAAACACATGAATTGGCAGTTCTTCGTGTTGATATAAGGGCAGACATCTTTTACAATTCCGTTTCTAAAACATAATCTCCCTCTCTTACACAACATTGTTAGGAACGTACAGAACCATAACCAGACAGTTGTACTTAATAGTCTAAAGTTTTAACACTCTTATTGAATTTAGCGAAGATTTTTGAGAACTCTTGCTGCAGATTCTAAACTATTCCACAAAGTACTGATGTCTGTGAGACAAGCTTTGTTGACTTCCCGGTATGGCTTCTTGACTGATGTCTGTGAGACAAGCTTTGTTGACTTCCCGGTATGGTTTCCTTGACGGGTGAATGTACATTACACTAAAGTAAAAGAGGGAAAAAGAAATGTAAAAAAAGGCATATGTTTTTTGTTAAAATTAACAACGGCATTGTTTTATTGTGAAGTAAATATCAAAATGACATGTGTAAATTGGTATGAAAATAATAAACTATATCTCCCTGTCTTATATACCGACTGTCGATATCTCCCTGTCTTAGATACCAACTGTCTATATCTCCCTGTCTTAGATACCAACTGTTTATATCTCCCTGTCTTATATACCAACTGTCTATATCTCCCTGTCTTAGCTACCAACTGTATATATCTCTCTGTCTTATATACCAACTGTCTATTTCTCCCTGTCTTATATACCAACTGTCTATATCTCCCTGCCTTAGATACCAACTGTTAATATATCCCTGTCCTAGATACCAGCTGTCTATATCTCCCTGTCCTAGATATCTAATGTCTATATCTCCCTGTCTTAGATAACAACTGTCTATATCTCCCTGTCTTAGATACCTAATGTCTATATCTCCCTGTCTTATATACCAACTGTCTATATCTCCCTGTCTTATATACCAACTGTCTATATCTCCCTGTCTTAGATACCAACTGTCTATATCTCCCTGTCTTAGATACCTAATGTCTATATCTCCCTGTCTTATATACCAACTGTCTATATCTCCCTGTCTTAGATACCAACTGTCTATATCTCCCTGTCTTATATACCAACTGTCTATATCTCCCTGTCTTAGATACCAACTGTCTATATCTCCCTGTCTTAGATACCAACTGTCTATATCTCCCTGTCTTATATACCAACTGTCTATATCTCCCTGTCTTAGATACCAACTGTCTATATCTCCCTGTCTTAGATACCAACTGTCTATATCTCCCTGTCTTATATACCAACTGTCTATATCTCCCTGTCTTAGATACCAACTGTCTATATCTCCCTGTCTTAGATACCAACTGTCTATATCTCCCTGTCTTATATACCAACTGTCTATATCTCCCTGTCTTAGATACCAACTGTCTATATCTCCCTGTCTTAGATACCTAATGTCTATATCTCCCTGTCTTATATACCAACTGTCTATATCTCCCTGTTTTAGATACCAACTGTCTATATCTCCCTGTCTTATATACCAACTGTCTATTTCCCCCTGTCTTAGATACCAACTGTCTATATATCGCTGTCTTAAATACCAACTGTCTATATCTCCCCGTCTAAGATACCAACTGCCTATATATCTCTGTCTTAAATACCAACTGTCTATATCTCCCTATCTTAGATACAAACTGTATTTATCTCAGATGTATAAACATACATTGAAAATATACACAACTTAGCATAACTACACACCATATCATACAGATGTATAACCATACAGTACAAATATAAACAACCTAGCATAACTACATACTATATCATACAGACATATAACCATACAATACAAACTTACAAAACTTAGCATAACTTCATACCATAGCATACATATATATAACCATACAGTACAAATAATAACTACATACCATAGCATACAGATATATAACCATACAATCCAAACATACAAAACTTAGCATAACTTGATACCATAGCATACATATATATAACCATACGGTACAAATATACACAACCTAGCATAAACTACATACCATATCATACAGGTATATAAACAAACAGTACAAATATACACAACATAACATAACTACACACCATATCATACAGATGTATAACCATACAGTACAAATATTCACAACCTAGCATAACTACACACCATATCATACAGATGTATAACCATACAGTACAAATATTCACAACCTAGCATAACTACACACCATATCATACAGATATATAACCATACATTACAAATATACACAACCTCGTATAACTACATACCATTTCATACAGATATATAACTATATAGTACACATATACACAACCTAACATAACTACATACCATATCATACAGGTATATAAACAAACAGTACAAATATACACAACATAACATAACTACACACCATATCATACAGATATATAACCATACAATACAAACATACACAACTTAGCATAACTACATACCATTTCATACAGGTATATAACCATACAGTATAAATATACACAACCTTACATAACTACATA